CACACACACACACACACACACACACATACACACACACACTCCAATTAATGAATGGTCAAATCCAAACAGATACTTGCCTAGGTAGGAATACAAATGGCCAACAAATAAATGAATTCTTAGCATTCAGGGAAATGCAAATAAAAATTACAATAATATTTCTTCTCAATCCAGAGCAATTATTGAGAATGCAAAGAATTGTAATTTTTCTATAGAGAAAATAAATTGCCTTCTACAGTGAATATGCAAATAACAGATCCTAAGATGGAAACCATTTTCTTATCATTCACTGAAGTAATATGTTTTGTTTTAAATATATCAAATATTAATAGTATCTATATTCTGCCCCATAATGTTATTATTTTATTAAATTAATGAATAACAAAATGATATCTCAATTCTTTCATCTAGTGAGAATAAACTAACAAAGTATTGTATAATAAATGTATTTTAGATAGATGTTGCAAGTCAGAATTTAGAGGAAAAGGGTTTGGGATTATGAAGGTTAAAGTAAAAACCAGTATTCTAACAATTGGTCAATTTTGCAAAATTGTGTGAGTAGATTAGTCTGTTTGATGAGTCTGAAATATATGATACTAAGTCAATTAAACCAAAAAAAAAGAAAGACAAATATGGGTTTATCTTACTTATATGAGGAATCTAACTCAAACAACAACAACAACAAAATAGGTCTTGTGTTAGAAGGGATTAAAGATTGTGATTTGAGATGCTAATTTTGGGGAAAGATGATCTTGGCCAATAGGTACTAATTTTGTTTAAAAGATGATATAAGTTCTTGAACCCAATATATAGCATGGTGACTATAGATGATAATAATATGCTGTATACTCCAAATTTTCTAACAGAGTAGATCTTAGGTGTTTCAGGCACAAAATAAAAATTGGGAACTTGGTAAAATGGTGGATATGTTAGCTTAATTTTAGTATCCACTTCATAGTATATAGGTAAATTAAAATATTATATCACTCATGTTAAATATATGTGATTTATCTTTTTTTTCTGAAGAGCAGGCCTAGGAGGTATCCTGAAAATTGTACTTTTGATGTCTTCCTCATATGATTCTGATTTTGATATTTATTTATTTATTTATTTATTTATTTGTTTGTTTGTTTGTTTATTTATTTATTTATTTTTTAGAGAGAGTGAGGGGGGAGAGAGAGAGAGAGAGAGAGAGAGAGAGAGAGAGAATTTTTTTAATATTTATTTTTTAGTTCTCGGCGGACACAGCATCTTCGTTGGTATGTGGTGCTGAGGATCGAACCCGGGCCGCACGCATGCCAGGCGAGTGTGCTACCGCTTGAGCCACATCCCCAGCCCTGATTTTGATATTTAAAGAACTGTTTTTCAAATACTGAGTTGATGTACAAATAAGTACTACAGATGAAAATAAAATCCTCCATTGAGTTGTGGTACCAAGAAATTATTAGGGCTAAAGAAGGATTAAAACCGTAGAAAGCCATATTTGATAGAAGAGACACTGAACAACAACAATAAAAAAAATTGAATAATGTTTGAAGAATTCCTTGGAGTTAGGAACTTACGTCTAGAAATAAGTATCATAAAGAATGACAGTCACAATTTATCTAAAGGTGTAACAACTTAAGAAATGATTGTAATATTTTCTGGAAAATTTTTCTGATATTTTATATTTGAAGTTTCTTATTCTGTAACTTATGGCTTGATGAATTTTAAAAACTATGTTGAAAATTAAATTAATTTCCTATGTCCAGCTCCAAATTTCAACATAAAAGTCTTAAGTATTTCATTTGTGAAGTACTTGATCATTTTAATTAATTTACATGAGAATTAGTTGTATATATTTGTGTGATACACAAACAACTTAGAGTGATTTTGACATGACTTCTTAACATAAAATTTCTACTGAAGACTTTATTAGATATGTCCTTTCTATTAAAGTTGCTGAATATATTAACTTTCTACATACAGAAAGTAAAGAATTCAAAATACGCTTTGTCATTTTAACTTTTCATCTCTTCTATTTCCCTGTTGTAACAAGGGGAGAATCTCACTGTATACTTCAATGTAGAAAGAGATGTCATAATGCCTTTTTGTATCTCTAATAACTTATTTGCTTTATGTTCTTTCAGTAATATACAATGATTAAGAAAAGATTATATTAGTGATAGCCTCTTTTACAAAGAGATAATAAAAAAGCAAACAAAATATATTCAATTGAGTATATAAACCGGGATTATGTTTCAAATGCCAAGAGTGTCTCTTCACTTGAGGAAAGCCTTATGATACACAATTTAGAAACTGATGATTTGATGCTCCTTATGAATCATCCAAGAGCTGCAAGTGTTCCTAATTAATCTAGTGCTCAGTCAGTAATGAATTAAATAAGATTTCAAAAAAATCCCTTGTGGTTTTAAATAGGATTCTTAATATAGTGATACTTTCTTATTTGAAAATATATTTTGCCCTAGCTTCCTTTGCTTAGGAAGAAAAATCTAACATTTCATTAAAAACACAAAATAGTAAATGTCCAACATATATGAGTGAGTTACCAAATATGTTATTTTGTCATTTAATATAAAATATAAACCTGTTTTCTTTTGATCACCCAATAATAATAATTTCACTTTAATAATATATACAAATTCTGCCTGAATAAATAAATCTTTTGAAAAAAGTTTACTTTGTTTATGGAATATATTTTATCTAGTTTCCTCTATTTGTATTTCTGTATTTTGAGGCTTTCTTATGAAAATAAGGAATTATTTGAATTTTTGAAAGCCAGATATTTTTATGGACTCAAACCATCTAGCCTCATGGGAAAAAAAATCTACATTATCAGAAATTCTGTAAAATCTTCAATAATTAATTCATTTGTTATATAAATAACTTCCTAATTTATTTCAAAATCTAAAATATTATTTGCAAATTTAATGTTTTTTATTTTAGTGATAGAAGCCTTCAAACTGAATTTGTATTAATCTTCTATTCTTTCATCCAAATGAAATTTTCTATTATGGAATTTACAAATGCTTGCATACACATACCCAGAACACATAGAGACATATGCGGATTTTTAAATTTTTGTTAAATATCATGATAATAACTTAATTTTTGCTTTCAAATTTTAAAAAAATTGCATTTATTTTGAAACTAATACATAGAAATCTGAAAATTATGCAGATCAATGGAATAACATTATATTTCAAAACATGTGTATTTGTGGAATCAGATTAAAGCTGTCTCCTCAAACATTTATCTCAATGTTATGGTGAGAACATGCAAAAATTCTTTCCTCTAACTTTTGAGATACATACTACATAGCCACTATCTACACTCACCCTACACTACCTTGAGGCAACAGAACTTCTTGTGCAGGGACCATGCTAATCTTCTCTGTATCGTTCCAATTTTAGTATATGTGCTGCCAAAGCGAGCACACTTCTTGCCCTTACCTAACTCTAACTTTGTACCATTCATCAACCAGTCCCCATTCCCCCTCAGCCTTATGTTTCCTCTGAGAATCACCATTCTACTTCTCTGAGATCAACATTTTTCAGATTTCACCTACTAGTGAGATCATGTGGTCTTTGCCTGGCTTATTTCACTTAGCTAAATAACCATTTCCAGTTCTATTCCTGTTGTCACAAATGACAGGATTTCCTTGATTTTTTAAATTTAATAGTATACGTTGTATATTGTACCATAGTTTCTTTTTCATTAGGGCTTAATATTTATACATCCTTATGATATACAATTGTTAATTGATACATGTATGCAATTTGTAATAATCATATCAGAGTCAGAGTCATAAGCATTCTATCCTTAAGCAATTTAATTTTTAAGTTTTGTATTGGAGATTACATAATATTCTAGTCATTTTGAAATATATTGTAGATTGTTTTAATTTTTTAATCACTCTTCTGTGTTAAAGGAATGTCTCTCTTTGTCTCCATTGTACTTCCCAGCCAACATGTCAGCAATGTGCTCCTAATATACTCCCCAGAATGAGCTTTTGCCAATTAAATTGTTCATCAAAATAAAACTTTTCCTTTCATTAAGTATGTCAGGTAATTTGTTACAGTAATGAAAACTTGAATAACACAAAGTCCAATTATGCTTATTTAAATTCTTTAGCTAAAGAAAAACCTCAGTGAAATAAATACTATACAATTAAAATTCTAAAGGTAATTTGCTGATCCCTTTGAATTTTTTGAGGGACTACATGCATTTTACATGGAAAATTTAATGTGATGAATTATTTGGAAAAGTTATATCACTTCATTCTTCCACTCTACACAAACCTTTTTGAAATGTGGCTTGGCGAGTTTTAGTGATGAATTTGGATGGAACTTATGTCCATAACTGTCTGATACTATGAAAGTTCTTAGCCTGTACTTTAAAAGTCCTTTGCCTTTTGGAAAGTCATCTTGATATTGCCATTAAAAGAAACACATTCTAGAGCTGGGCACCGTGGGGCACAGCTGGGAATCCCAACAGCTTGAGAGGCTGAGACAGGAACGTTACAAGTTCAAAGCAGCCTCAGCAACTTAACTAGACTCTAAGCAACTCAGGGAGACCCTGTCTCTAAATAAAACATAACAAGGACCTGGGGATGTGGCTCAGTGGTAAAGTGCCCCTGGATTCAATTCCCATTAACCAAAAAAAAAAAAAAGAGAGAAAGTCAGTCTAGCCAATGTATACCCACGGCACCCCAACTCCTATCATGAAATATGAGTGACATCATCTTATAAGCTCCAGTCTAATCGAACTGACAGTTGGATACAACCATTTGAATAGCCAATCAAAATGAGCAAAACCCAATCAAAATTTTGAGAAAATACTACATTGTTAAAATTTAAGGCATTGTAATTTGGGGAGACTTGTTAGTAGTGATAACTGATAACATGACAAACTCAAATTTATCTACAAGATTTCAACTTTTTCCTCAGCTAAGTCAGAAATATGAGAGTACAATTACAAATATATTAAAATTTAAATCACATAGAACTTAGAAGAAAATCCAGTACAAAACTATATATATATATTTTTATTTTAGAATGCATTATATTAATGGTACACATTGGAAATATCAATACAGCTTGCCAATAAACATTGAAATATTCTGGAGCATTATTCTTGCTGCTTCTGATAAATTTTCAGAAATTATAAAAACTTAGATAAAGTAATAACTCTTAATTTTTCAGTTAAACTGTGATACAAATGTTGCAAACATGCAAACATTATATGGGCTGGCGAGCCAAAGGTAAATCATAGGAAAAAAATATTCCAGATAACAATATGAGAGGAAACAAATGAATAAGCCTAGAGAACAAATATATTAATTTCTTCAAATTTAAATTAATGTGTTCTTATAAATCTATTATTCTTTGGTTGTTGTAATTACATTCTTTTACAGTTAAGGGTTACTTATTTATGTTGGTTTTTTTCACTATGATGATCTTAAAGTTACTCTTCAAAATTATGCACTGATACATTTGATTTTGTGTCCCACTCTGTAGAAAATCTATGCATATTTTAAGTAAAGTCAAAACAAATCTAAGAGATTTTAAATGCACTGAATTGAATGTAATACAAGGATAATAAATGTATCTCTTTATGACTCTATATGTATTACTAATGCCTTGTTGAAAATACACAGATAAGGATATTTTCTGCATTTGTTACTTATGATACTTTATATTCAAGTTACATCAAGTGCTTTTGAAATGATATGTCTTATTCTTATAGTTGCTATTTTTATTATCTAGTCTTTATATATGCATTGTTATATTAATATTTATGTGGGACACAGAGGTAGTAGCACATGCCTGTAATCCCAGCTATTTGGGAGGCTAATGCAGGAGGATCACTAGTTTGAGGTCAGTGTGGACAATATAAAATTGAAAATAATATTGAAAATGCAATGGGGGTGCTGTTCAATTTTTGAGTTCTTGCCTAGCATGTGCAAGACCTTGTAATTAATCTCCAATACTGGAAAATAATAAAATATAAATGTATTTGTATGTATATGTATATATGATATACAAATTTTAATAAAGAATAATTTACACAGAAGAGATAAAATATAGTCATGGATCATTGTATAGGTTTGAACACTTCAAAGAAGCCAAAAAAATAAAAGGTGAGAAATGCAATTTTGTGAATTTTCCTGGATTATAGGCATGAGTAAACAGGTGGTTGTATCTATCTCATAAATAAAAAAGACAGATGATCTCCAAGAGGAATCTTGAAAACATTTGTTACTTTGCAAAATGTCCCATAATCCTTTACCGTGCCTATATGTCCATTTCTTATAGACAACTCAGAACATTTCCAACTCCATACTATATGCAGTTGGCAAATTTGGAATTGAATATGACTATTAGAAGTTCTTCCAGTTTTTGGATGCCTACTTGGAAAACTGAAACAAAAATACAAAGTGTTTTTGTGTCACTAACTAAAATTGAAGTGATGACATAAATATTACATAATTTGAATACATCAATTCATATTATCATATTTTAAGGATATTATTCTTTATCATCCATACACAGATCTTCCCACACTGGCACTTTTAAACTTTTAGTCTAGCAATTGCACTAATTTCATTTTCAAGAGAGCACATTAAGACAGGCACTATCCTCACTCGGAATTGAAAACTATAAAAATTATTAAATACTTGAGATCTATATCCTACAGTTGTTCTCATTAATATCATTTATATATTCTAATTCTTTAGAGAGCTTTATTATATGTGTCTCTGAAAAGATCACTCCCACATACTATCCTCTGCAAAATTTCCTACCTTGGAAATGTACAATTAACGTTGAAAAATAATTATGGAGGAATCTTCGACATACTCAAATTCAGCTTCTGTACCTTTCCTTTTGCTCTGAACTGTTAGCCATCTTCATTATTTTAGGAATAGGAATTCATTGTGTGCAGGTGAATGGGTGTGAGTGTACACAATGCTACAAATCTAACAATTTTTAATTTAAACTTTCCCACTTAAGGAACTAGAAACTGGAAGCTCTGGAATTTGAATTATTAATTAATGTTTTTCAATCAAAATGGGTAATTTATATCTCCCTAGGCTAGAATACAGCCTTGAAACTAACAGTTGTGCCACATAAATTGGCATCCATTTACTTATGTTATACAGTCAAATGTTGGAGAAAGAAACTTTTGGATGCCCTTGAATGTTGGGATAAGAACAGTGTTCACTCCTTGGAGAGAATTTTCAAGTAGCTAGGATAATCCACAAAATTATAAATGCAAAATAAGCCTAATTTCCTGGCACTGAAATTTACAGAATACAAGATTATAGGAAAGAACCTCTATATGAGAAAAAAATACACGAGAATGATAATAAGTCATGGAATGGGAAAGGGGAGCATTCCATTCTTTGCTGATAATAAGAAATGTACTTGTTCTCCTCAAAGTCTCCATTTATACACTCCAATATTCATATTAATAGTACCATCTGCAAAGTCAAGGAAATCTCTTTTGGCCATTTGATCCAGGTTAATGAAAGACTGCTGCCCAAAAGGTCTTAAATTTGTCTTGAAACTGACTAATCCTTACTTAGGCTTCCCGACAGGCCATTGACCTCCCTCTTACATGGCCTTAGCAGAATCTATATGATTCCCCTATCCCTTTTCCTTGAGAAATCACTTAAGAATATTTGTAATTGAAAAAATAAATATTTTCCTGGTCCTTTTAGATGTAATTCTTTTTAAAGACCTCTTACAACATTTACATTTAGAGCTGTAGTTTTTTGAGAATTTGGGAGCCACCCATTTGAAAAGTAATCATCAGGAAAGCTTGAATCCCTATCCTGCAGTCTCTGGGAAGATAGGAAACTTACATTTGTAGGGGTCTGGCTCCCATTTGGGTTAAGACACTCTGCCATGAATATAAAAGAAAGCTTACTTTCCCCATGCAGAAGGGCAATCAGCAAATATGGAAATTCTGTTTTCTCTATTCTGGCACTTAAAGTATCTCCCTCTTCTTGTTTCAACGGTGCTGAGTTCACACTGCCTTCTGATCTCCTACCTTTTCTGCAATATCCTTGAACACATTCTGTTTTAATTGTTTAATTTTGGGAGGGTCATTTTTTGTGTGTTGACAGTGTAAAACACTCTAGTGTAGACTATGGCCTCTTATAAGAAAGAAGTCTATATTAACTTGTATGAAGAAAACCACATATCAAAACTCTATGTCATACACCCTCAGTTGGTACAATTTTACTTAATAAAGGAATAGAATCCCAGCAGCAACCAGAGGAGAGTAGAAAGAAATAAGACAAATCCACTTGCATTTCTTTTAACATATTTTATTTGTTTTCAGTTATACATGACAGTAGAATATATGTTGACAAATTATTTATACATAGAGTATAATTTATTCTATTTAGGATCCCACTCTTGTGGTTGTA